TCAAGTTGTTACCGTGAAGATCCAAGGTGTGAAGCTTGGAGAGGCTTGCAAGCTCCGCAGGAACAGCACCAATGTGTCCGTTTTCTCGAAGCACCAGAGACTCGAGGCGAGCTCCAAGCTGACCGATTTGCGGCGGAATTGGCCGGGGATTGCCGCTGCAGCACCTGTAGAAGAAGAGGCGCCTGAGAAAGACGAGCTTGGCGATGGAAGGCGAGATTGTGGAGTCGGAGCTACAGGCAGGGAAGGCCGTGTCGTCGGAGAGGACTCCAAACGAGAGCGAGACGACGTGAAGGAGGTTGGTGCTCGTGTCCAAGGTACACTCGATTCCATGCCATCTTCCATTGCAAACATCCGGAATTGTTGTGACCCACGAGTTTCCAGTGGCAGCCATGACGTCGTAAACGGCTCGAATCTCGCGTGGATCGGTGCGAGCGCTGGCATTCTGCTGCATGATCGGGAGGACCATGTCGTCGCAGCTCACATGAGTCGTGACGATGCAGAGGATGATACAGGAAGAAGCGATCACGATACTTACAAGAAACATCATCCTTTCTACTCCAGTTGAAAGGTGAGAAACTTCTCTTTTTTGCTTCTCGCATTATATAGTTGGAAGCCATGGATTCACATTGAATGTTTTCTTTGCAAGCTCACGGGAGAGCAGTGGATTCTATTAAATCTGTAAAATGTTGCAGCAGGGGTCACAGGAAACCATGACCTCCTCATAAATGCAAGGTTTATGAAATTTAAGGTTTACAATGGATTGGGATGAGACAAGCGCATGAGCTTCTGTACAGGACCAGAGCACCTCTACCCGGGATTGTGAATATCTGAAATGAGCAAAAAAAATTTACTGTCGGTTTGATCTGGGTGGTGAACGCGTCCAAGGATGAGCCGGATGCTTGACGAGTCTGGGAAGTGTCAAACTGGGAAAGAAGAAAAAGCAGTTTGACATTACATGCTTGATATTGGAGACGGCGGAGTACGACTATGTATGTCAAGGACAAGATCACAAGGCGAGCAGCTTGATGCTGGTGAAGAGGAGATATACCATTGAAGATCCTCACTTTTCGGGGTCAAGAGCCATTCTCTTATAAAATGCAAAAGTTTAAATCATGAAACTCTGTCCGCACCAGCGGCGGCCCAGGTCCAGAGCCGAATGGTACTCATTCGGTTCTTTTCTTTCAGGGTTTCTTGCGAGATTGAGAGAGCTGGATTGAGGTGTTCGAGCCACAGGGGCAAACAAACTCTTATGTATAGGAACAGAGTCTGAAATGGGGTGACCCGGCTTCCTGCTAAATTAGAAGTGTGCTTGTTTACGTATGTCACAATAACATCAGTTGTCTCGCAATCTTTCCCTCAGGAGTGTGGTGTGTTCCAGCAAGTGAGAAGAACTATAAATGTAAGGATTTAAAACATGTATTAGAGTAAACAAGAAAAGTGATTTAGAAAATCATAGCCATCAGAAACTTTAGAACTGGCCCATACAAAACTCAATGGCTTGGTGTGTAAGACAAGCGCAGGTGGCCTTCTGTAAAAGCAGCTAATAGCCCAAAGCTACCTATAGAAGGAAAAGTGACATCTAACTTTCTTATTGGCGACTGTCTGGAATGGGAAAATTGTGTTGGTTGAGTCTGGAGAAGGGCATGTTTATGGTATCTTGTCCAATACATGGCGGGTTCCCTTGCCAAGGTGAGTTCAATGGCAAGCTTTTGCTGGTTTAACCAATTCAACAGACTGCAAACAAACAAAACAAACCAAGTTGATAAACTTGTTGAAAGGAATTACCCTATGGGAAATATGGAAAGCCAGGTGTAACAAGATTTTCAACAATAAACATGATGGCCAAAAGGTGGTAGCTGTGTGAGTTTGGGCTTGAATCATCACTGCAGCAGCAGCACTAGAAAAAAGACAAGGGTGAAATGGTCCAGAAAAAACAAAAAGAGAAGCACAAATCTAGCATTTTTTGTGGAAGTAAAGGGAGGTAGGCATTCGTGAATGGATGTGGATACCACTGGATGAATGGTTTCAAGTGACACATTTAAAATGGCCATTAAGTTCTAATTCACAAGCAAACCTCTGCTTTCTTCCATAGTAAAACCCTCCCCTTGTGCTGGTTTTATGATCAGTTTTTTAGTGTTTTGCTAGTATATAAAAGGCCCCATTTAACAAAGATTGCAATAGAGAATTGGACAGCTTTGAAGAACATGTTTGGGAATGGCCATTTGTTCTTCCTCTTTGCTGCAGTTGAGCAGTCATGCAATCTAAAGTCATGTAACATTTGCAGTACATGGTCCTTTCTCTAGTTTTTTTGTCATGATATCTACTGTCATTTGTTTCGTTGCAATGTACTTCAGCTGCACCCTATTCACTAGAACTTGTTCTTGAATAAAGTGTACCTTATCTCAATGTGTTTGGGTGTGAATAATTAGTGGGCAATAATCATACGGTTGTGGTTCCATTGGTGAAGAGTGAGAGGAGGAAATACAAGAGAAAAGCTTCAGGGAAATAGCAAGAGAGTGGTGTGCCATGGAGTCGAACACACTGGTGCTGCCAATAAGGCCTGTGGCAAGGAGGACGAACCTCTGGACAGCCACAATGTAGTCCTTAGGTAGCAGTGGTTCTTCCATGTTTGCTCTTCTTACAATACTCTGCCTCAATGGGTGAAAGAGCTATGATTGCTTGTCACTTGCTACTCTAAGTTTGAAGAGATATCCTAAACCCAGAGCTCTGGCGTTCTTTCTTTCCAATCCTTGAGGATGGATTCCATAATGTTTATAACCTGAGCAATGTTGGAGATGTCAACTAATGCTAGCGCAAATGTGAGTGTAACTATTGTAAGTAGGTCAGACACTATGCTAGAGAATGTCAAGACACCTTGAAGTTGCTCAGAACAGCCTTGGAATTGCCTCCTCAACTTGGTGATATCCTTGTTTGCTTTGAGTTGACAAGCAAAGCTATGGCTATGGTTGTCTTTGTGAGTTAATGGTTTTTCTTCATTAATAAGAGCATTTTACTATCTTATGCATTCTAGGCAAACCAACGATTCGTGGTGATTGCTTCATCTAGACTTGATAGCTGAGAGAGCATTGATATCAGCCTGGTTATAATTATTTGAGTGTTTGATTTTATCCTGCGTAGGTTCTGGCTTACAGACAGGAGTCGTGCTAGTTTCAAAACAGCTTCGTGGTGAAACTTAGTCAGCATCTCCTAATCCATCACTCCCATCTCCTCTTTTATGGATGGGAGCGAAACCAGCACCAGGTTTCCCTTGGTGACCAGCAGCTTCCGCATTTTTCCGTAGAACAGCCCCGGGAGATGGATATGGCCGTTGCTGGAACAGTGGACCCTGGACCAAACAAATCCAGACAAAGCTAAGATGATATTCTAAAGCAAAAACAACACGTACTGTTGCAGTGGTATCTGCTGCCCTGGGCTGTACTCCTTTCAAGCCAATACCCCTGCAAGTTAAGCCGTTTAAACCCGCTAAACTTCTGTCTGGCCTTACCATCCTCCTCGAGGAGCATCAGAATAGGCACTAGGATCCATGGGATCCAAGTCTTCCGCTCCCCTTTTTTTCCTGTTCTTCACTTGCCTGGCAACTTACACATTCCCTGTACGCATCTAGAGAGAAATGCGATGTGCAAGCTCACCTTTGCTTGGGAGTTTCATTCGTAGGCGTCATCTTGTGCAGAGGTACTGTGATGTTGAGAACCCTGCGTTCCTCTTTCAGTTTCGGAACAAAAGCAACGCGGTTAAGTACCTCGTACAGTGATTGCAGTAGTTCCAGGCTTGAACTAATCCCACGCCCCAGCCTCCACATCCGGTACATTTTTTCATTTTGATAGGAGCAACAGCAGTAGCGGGAGCTTTGGGCCTCTCCCAGGAGCTTTCGTTCGTTCTCACATTGAAGTAGTACGTTTGTCCTGGAAGTTCATTATAAGAAAAAAAATCGAACATCTGCACAAACGTACCAGATCCAGGATCAATCGCAGTTTGCCAATCAGGAGGCAGTCGTTCGACAGATTCTTCTTCCGGTGGTGGACGTTCCCAGCGACTTTCCCCAGTGCTTTCATTATAGTAGAAAGGATAGCCACTGGCCGGATCCCTCCCTTCTGCCTAAACCCCAACCTTGGTGTTAGACCAGATCTTTCACCATATCTTACCCAGCCCCCAGGCAAGGATGTCGATGAACTCTTCTGTCCAAGCGAGCGAGTTAAAACCGTTCACGCCGTGAAACAAAGAAACACAGTAACTTACAAGAGAGCCGACGTTCGCTACTTCTTCACGGTTGTGTTGCAAGGATGGCTGCGTTGTTGAAGCTGTTTGATGGCAAGGCTCAGCAGCAGGAGCCGCGAGAGTAAACATTGGAGGCCGAACAGCATAGGCGCCACCTCCAGGCAGTCCATAGCCGTTTCCAATTTCCGTGTTCTCTACAGGTAAGAACTAAGAACTCAGAGATAGCTCATGAAAAGCATCACTTACCTGGTCGCGAGGATAACTGCTTGGCTCGTTTCGAGGCAGCATCAGCACGATGGTCGGCCGTCATCTTTACGAGAGTATCCTGTCCAGAGAAGAAGAAAGGAGATGAAGAAGAAAAAGAAAGTCGCTAAGATTCTAGCCAGTGAGAATACCTTAAGTCGTCCTGGACTGTGACGCTCGCAAAGAACATCGTTGCCAGTAGCGTTTTCATCCTGCCTGCAAACGCGCCGCCCTCAAATCGATCACACGATCAAGCATTTCTTCTTACCTCTGCCTGCTGATCACTTCCTGAACAGCAGCTTCCTGCATTCAATCAAGAAGACAACGAGTAGAAAGAAAGAAAATATTTCGAGAAATATACCTGATGAGAGAGCGCATCGCTGGGCTCTGCCAGGAGCTGGCCATCCAAATCCTCCACCGCCGGAGCTCCGGTATACAGATCCTCCCGGAAACGCTGCAGCGTCGCTCGCGCATCCATCGAAGAATCTATCGATCGATTCACAAACCCTAAAGCTTGAGAATAAATAAGGGGAGTTGTTCTATTCACGCATTGCTCTTCTGGATGACAACAGCGTTAGCCAATCCAGCCTCTTGGATCGTGAGCGACGAATCGTTGAGGAGCTTTGGAGGAAATCCCATGACTTGGAGCGAGTAGAGCTTGGGTCCGCCGGCTCGGGCCGCGTCGATAAACCCACGAATGTCTCCCACGGTGTGGTGATTGTTGAATCGCGCTACCATTCTCGTCCCATCGGCGAGCCGCAGCTGGAGCGACGTGAAAGGCTTCTGCTCGTCCACCACGATCCCACGGAATGGAGCGGCAGGGGTCACAGCGGCGTCACTAGCGTCATTGCTGCTGGGGGGCTGCGAAGATCCTAGAGTTCTTCCTGCTCCAAAGAAGTATTGCTGCTGCGCTGGAGGCGGCGGCTGGCATGGAGCAAAGCAAAGATCACAGATGAGAAGAGAGAAACTTGAGAGAAGGAACTTACGGTCCAGTCCGCGTCGCGCTTCATCAAGTTGACATGGACCGGGATGTCTGGATTTCTAGAGTCCAATTCTCTCGGGCACTCACCTCTGTGGATGCTCTAGAAGAACAAGCAAGGGGGCTTGTGAGAACCGAAAGAGAGAAACAAGAAACTCTATCTCACGCACCTGGAGAAAAGGAATGTTTGCTGGATCGTCGAGCCTTCTCAGGCCACCATCGTTCACAGTGAAGCCATTCCTCCAGAAAGTGATGGTGTGAAACACTGGCTCCGGCGTCGATTCCTCGTCCGGAGCTGCCGCCCCGGATGCCTGGCCGCCTGCTAGGGTTCTTCCAACGCCCCCAAACCCACCGGATTTGGCGCGGCTGGATGAGGACGAGACATCGCCCGTCCCCTTCTGGGCTCCAAGCTCCAGCGCGCGATTGAAAATCGAGTCGACATCCTTGTTCTGCTTGTTGTTGGCAGGATCTTGGACCACCATGCCACTGAAAATCACATCGATCGATTCATCGGCCACGAAACTAACTTGGACCATTGCTGTGCCTACCTCTTCTCGCCGCCAGTGTAGTACTCCTGCCCATCCGAATCGCTGTCCGATTCATGCGCGCGCTTGAGATCAGAGAGAGTAGCGACCTCGCCGCGTTTCTTCTTCTTGTCTCCCATCCTCCTCCAAGAACCCTAACCTAAAGCCCTTTTCTCTTTACTTTAGTAGTTATACATAACTAACGACCACCACCGGTCACCCTAAAATTTCTCTCTTTCATGGGCAGTGAAGGCGACGGCAAATCGATCGCCCCCGAGCAGCACGATCCGGAGCAGCAGCGCCAGGTACTTGATCGTTCGCGTGAAATTCCCTTGCGCTGTTGTGTGTTCTTTGCTTGATCGGCACGGCATTTTCTTGCTATCGATTGAAGGAATGGAGCTCACTGATTCATTCATCCATCCACTGTTTGATCGACCAGCTTTTAGCAATCTATCTCTTTCTGGTTCACAGGACGAGGAGGAAGAGGTGGTGGAGGAGGAGGAGGAGGAGGAGGATCACGAGGAGCCGACCACGTCCGCCGCTCATCAATTCGATTGCCAATGGCCCATGGCCGATGTAATTGGAGCAGCAGCGCCATCTCCAGCACTCCAGGTTCTTCCTTTCAAGAGTTTTTTACTTCTTATCCTTGGTTCTTCGATCGTTCTTCCTTTTTGATTCGTTTCTGCGACTGATGGATTGGTTCCTCTCGCAGGCAGCAGCTGTTCCAGGCTACGCTTCATCGCCAGTACGCTATATGTGGGGAGGAATCCAGGCAAGTATTCATCTTTTTATACGTTTTCTTCTCTCTCTTTTTTGACAATGGAGAAGTTTTCTCTTTTTTGTTTGCGTTTCAGCCTTTGATGCCATCGTTCGCGACATACAATCCTTATGGGCAGCCGGTAAGATTTTTCTCGTCAGAAAACAGTGTTGATCGTATACAGCAAATGAGCAACAAGCATCCTGCTATGTCTTAAGCATGCTTTTAGGGGCCACCTCCTGGACATTTCGGTGCAAAGGCTTTCCAAATGGTACGTCCACCGTGAGCGACCACGGATTGTTTTTTACTCGCGAGAGCTCCACAGGCTCAGAGTGGTCCTGCTGCGTCAGCCGATGTGCAACAAGCCGACTCGCCATCGAAGAGCAAGCCCGTCAAGAACGGCAGCTTTGGCCACAGGTCAGCCAGCTTTCTTTCGTTTTGATTATCGAGCTCACCGCACTTTGACAGTAGCAGCAGTGGCAGCGATGGATCAAGCGAAGGAAGCGAAGATGACAACTCCAACAACAACAACAATGTAAGGAATGTTTTAGCCTCGTTCGTCAACACTGCTTTACAAGTTCTCTGCTGCAGAAGAATGCTTTCCATCAAATGGCTATGGAAGGTGACCGATCTTTAAACTCTGTTCCCTTGAGTAGCTGGAACTTCACTCGGTCTCGGATGTTGCAGTTTTGGAGAGTAGCAATACAGCAGGAATGTTTGGAAGCTGCTCTGGCTCCATTGAAGCGAATCCAACGGGAGTGCCGAATACTCTGATGGATTACTGGAGCGGAAATGTTTCCAGAGTACACAGGAAATCGAAGCACTCGTCAGTGCCATCGCAGCCGCTGGTCCCGGGGATGCCAAGCTCGCTGTTGGGGGCTGCTTCCGCTTGTGATGGTTCTGATATGTGGTCACAGGTTTATCACACTTGTTTCCTTCTTTTTTTTCTCAATGTACCTCTGGTAGGATGAACGAGAGCTCAAAAGACAAAGAAGAAAGCAATCCAACCGGGAGTCAGCAAGGCGATCGAGATTGCGAAAGCAGGCAAGTTTGTCTTCATTCCTTTTCAGAAGAAAGTGATTTAAATCGAATTAATTTGTGTGAAATGAGACAGGCAGAGTGTGAAGAACTAAGCACCAGAGTGGATGCTTTGGCTGTGGAGAACGCGGCACTGAGGACCGAGTTGGGCCGACTTATGGAAGAACGTAACAAGCTCGCACAAGAAAATGTCACTTTGATGGTATGGTTTTACAAAGTTTGTGATTTTTCTAGCTAAACATATATAGTCTAATTTCTTACAGGAACAAGTGCTAGAAAAATCACAACACGAGCAAGACACAATGTTTGCTCCTAGTTAATTCATCATTCATTAAATTTAATACATAATTCTTTCCCAAATCTAAAACGATGTCATTTTTCTTTCCTTAAAAATGTCGCATTCCCTAGTCACACTGCCTGAACTTGGACAGCTTTTTGTACCCTTAAAAAAACAGTGTTTTACCTTTCATAAAAGGGTGATTTATTATTAAACCTTTCAAAAGAAAGGCTGAAATAATGTAGTGTTCTTAGAGATAAATACTATTAATAAAAAATTAAACATAATGTAGTAGGATAATTTAATTGATGGTAAATACTTATGCTTATAAAATATCATTTAACTTTGATTATCTTTTATACTTTGAAGTTTATACTTTTTAATAGACTTTCAAGGTGAAAGATAAATCTCAAACCCTTCAAAAGAAAAAAAAATGTCACCCTTCAATGTTCCACAAAAAGACCCCACCTGGGAGCAGCGTCCCACCCCCTACTAAAGCACCCTCCAGCCGCCTCTCCTCCCTCTCTGCTCATCTTCCCATCATATGATCACACAATGCTGGGTAAGCACTGGTTCTCATATTTGCATGTCTTGTGGGAAGCTTTCATTTGAGGTATAGCTCCTCACATTTCTTTTCTCTTGGGCTTCTATAAAACGTTTTGGCAGGGGAAGTCCTGTGATAGACGTTCTGCTGAGATCGCATTTGGATCTTCGTACTACCATCTCCATCCTGATGATTCCCATCTCGTTGGGATTGGCTGCCGGTAACTAAACATTTCTTTCTCTCTTAATTTCGTCTTCTCTATTTCTCTGAAAGCTTCACTGTTTGTGCTATCATGGCCATGTTCATAGACTGGGGCTGCTGGTAAGATAAACTCTTCACTCTCATCTTTATGACTCTGGTTTTAGACAATCGGATCTACTATTGGACTGGGCATTTTGTAAGTGGCCACTCACTGAAGCATTTGATAGCGGCTTGATCATGCAAGGAAGTTGTTCACAGAGTTTTTCTTTTCTATCATTTAAGCTATGTCTCACTGCTTCTAAAAAACCACTTGTAGGTTAGGAGATTGAGGGCAATGAGCATGATGAACGCTAACCTTCTCACTCATGTGTAAGAACTCGTGCCTTTAGTTGCTGTAGAATGGGGCCAACATATATGTGTTTTTTGATCATATAGTGAATAAAATACTTAATTACGCACTCTGGAGCAAAAACCTTTACTCAAGAAGAGAACACACAAGACACTTGACATGCCTTCATGATAAAGGGCTGGTGAGTTGCAAGATTGGAGCAGCTAGAATCATGTCTTTGAAGCACAATAGGGGCAGAAGATTGAAAGCCAAATCTAGAGCTCCTGAGGGACTTTTGTGTATATAGAAGTGTCAACTACTTCTTTGGAACAGGACGTGGTAAAAAAGGTGGCTTATTTGCTTTTATGTTCTAAGGTTTGTAAATATATATATGTATATACATATATTACCCTAGCTAAGTAATACACTAATTATAGTATTATAGTATATGAATAATCCAGTCCAAGTGCTCCACTTGCCCGGTCCCAAGACCAACATTCCAAGGTACCACCGACATACTAGCCTATTACGCTAAGGCCATGCCCTTTCACCTTTGTCACACCGGTGGTCCAACATCACCTGCATCACAGTCCTGTCTCTCAAGGATTGGGCCATTCATCCAGGAGTGACCATCCAAGATCCACTCCTTAGCATCCTTAAGATGCTCGCAAACATAGAGAACAGCCTTCCTTAATATCCCTTTTACTGTCCTCACCAAGTCCCTTTTCTGCCCATGGCTGTGTTCGCCAACACTGCCACTAGGACAGAGCTTATAGGCCCGACCAGTAAGTCCCACTATCCTCTGGGACTTCCTCACCACATGATTGTATCATTGGTCACTACACTAAAGGACCACTCCTCTTCCTTTCCATAGTCTGGGACTTTGGGACAACATTTCAGAACACTATGGCCTTACGCAAGCCTCATGGGTACTCTCCCCACCTTCCGCCTTTTGGTGCTCTAGCCATGGGTTTAGAGCAAGGTTTCGTTGAGCCACGCCAGGTATCCAAGTAGGTAGTGCCATCTACACTTGGACTGGGAGCATTGACCATTCAATCTCTTGGGGGAACTAGAGCCGGCTCTTAAACACTTCACCAAGCTACCACGCTTGACAGTCCATATTCACTCTAGCCTTGGACCTCCCAATGGTTATCCCGTCACCTAACACCTGGGCACGGCCTTCCTGGGCCAAATTGGCATTTCCTGGCCAAACTGGCTCCACTGGAGTCCACCCCCCTACTATACTTTTGGAGCTCACCAAACCCCCTAGGGTTTGGGAGACGAACGCTTTGGGCTTTCACCCTCTTAGACTCGAACTCGGACTCGGACTCAGACTTGGAATCGGACTCGAACTCAGACTCGGACTCAGACTCAGACTCGGACTCGGACTTGGACTCGGGCTTGGGCTCGATCTCGGCCTCGGTCTCGGTCCCGGTCTCGGTCTCTGTCTCGGTCTCGGTCTCGGTCTCAGTCTCGGTCTCAGTCCTAGTCTCGGTCTCGGTCTCGGTCTCAGTCTCGGTCTCAGTCCTAGTCTCGGTCTCGGTCTCGACTTTGGTATCCATCTCGGCTCCATCTCGGGTCCATCTCGGACTCTATCTCAGGTCCATCTCGAACTCCATCTCGGACTCCATCTCAGACTCCATCTCAGGTTCATCTTGGACTCCATCTCGGACTCCATTTCGGGTCCATCTCGGATCCATCTCGGACTCCATCTCGGTCCATCTCGGATCCATCTTAGACTCCATTTTGGTCCATCTCAGACTCCATCTCGGACTCCATTTTGGGTCCATCTTGGACTCCATCTCGGACTCCATTTCAGGTCCATCTCAAATCCATCTCGAACTCCATCTCGGACTCCATCTCGGATTCCTCAAGTTGGAGCTTTTAGTCCAAACCTGTTACGTTCGTTTGGCTTCTGCTTCGGCCACTACCATGTGGCACCCTTTCGGCTCCACTTTGGGGCTTAGGGATTTGTGTCTTACAATTCCACCACCTATAGACAAAGTTCGATGTCCTTATCAAATGATAAACCATTTTATAAAGTAACACTAGCATGTATTACCTTTTCCATCCTTGGCACTTAACCCATATTCGTCAATGGTTCGACACCGAAGGCTTACCATGCCTTGTTCAACATCTAAAGAGCATAGTGTCTCTAACATAGGGACTCATTTAACCACTTCAGATGGTTCTCTCCCTTTTTTATTGGTTTAGCTCTCGCTAAACCCATTAGAGACACCTTCTCTAGCTTAATCCCATTACTCATTCTCGAATAGTCTCAACTTTTATTGACATAACCAGTTCACCTTAGAACTTTTAATTTTGACTTTTCAAAGTCAATTTCCTTGGTGTCTCTGACACCTTTCATTGCATATATTGTGCAACTTCACTTCCCCATCCTAGGAAGTTCTCCACTTGAGGGCACCATCATCCTCCTTTCTATTTTGTGCCACCTTTGGCACCAAGTTCTAGCTATCGTAAGTTGTGCTAGAACTGTCCATGACCCTATCATTTGGCTACTTTGCCATTCCCTCCCTTGGAGCTTTCACCTTTGCCAATTTGGAGCAATTAGGAATCCATCCTCGGAAGCACACTTCCTTTCTCACAATCCATTAGTATCCAACATTTTAGTGTCCCATGCCTAATTTTGCCATTTGGATTCCTTCCAATGAACTCCATGGCCCACACGTGGCCACTAGTTTTTTGCTTTTATCTGTAAGCAATCAAAGAGAACGACTTAAGAGACGGTCCATGGGGTTCAAATATAGAAGGAAATGGCTCATGAATAAAAGTGCACCCCTTTTTCCAATCGGTTAAGGGTCTTGGGATACTTGGGGTTAAGCGTCCTTGGGTTTGAATAGTACTCAGCTGGGTGACCTCCCAGGAAGTCCAAACTCAAGAGGGGTACATTATCCGTTGATTGTTACATTGAGCAACATAAGATCAATACTTCCATTCTTGAGGTATCCTTTTGGTTCTATGGCAAAGGCTCTACTTTGCTAAGTCTAGAAGGTGCTCACCCCTAATAGGTTTCTTTAGCATTTTCTGTAACGGGCTCCATCCACGGCCCAACTTTGTGACCCTCCCATAGGTCTCTCTTAGAGACTACTTTCTTGGACTTACTATACCATCGTTTTGGTACGACTGATTTCCCTTTAGGTGTTCTTCCCACTTGGTCACCTTGACCAAGCCACACCATTCTCAATAATTCAACTCAACACTTTGAACTAAGAATCATATTCCTTAACCCAAACAAAGACTTTATCCTTGTTTAGCTATAAGATCACCTAGTGATCTCATTTTGACCTCTTAACAGGTTTACCAATAGGAACTAGGTCTTCCAGACCCTTTTAAATTGTTGATTATGACCCCAGAGGCATCTCTCACGCTTGGCGGTGCACCCAAGCCAACCCTTCTAACCAAGAATCCATAGTAACTGAGATTAAATGTCCCCATCTCATTCACCACATCTTTGGTGCCTTTTACACCAAAGTGTTCAAGTTAGATATGCCGAGCTTTCACTCTAAGCAATCTAACCGTGCATCATGACTCTGGGGCATCCCCCGTTTGGCGGTGTGCCCAAGCCAATCTCCTAATTGAGAATCCATGACCACCGAAATATAAGTGTCTTCATATTCCAAACCATCACCACGCTCTAGTGATTTGGGACTTGAACCCAAGCACTAAAGGGTCGGGACTCAAACCCAACCTTCATATATACACCTACGGACGGCATCACCCTAGATGCCTAGCGTGACTCCCCACGCCGGTGCACCAACTTATACTTAAGGTGCACTATAGATCACAGCTTAAGAATTTAATTCCTTCGCACTACCAAGTCCTCTCATTTGACAAGTTTGTGATCATGCATGGACTCCTCCATACTTGGCCCCATAGGCCACCCCTTTTGAAGATAGCACCTTCAAGTAGGGGATTCATTCCCCTGACTTGCCACTCTCGCTTAGCAAGTCATCCGACCAATGTAACATGGTTTTATACATAAGCGTGAT